GACCTGATTGAATTTCAAACTATGTTTTTGAGAGTAATGAATGGAATGCTTTTTTCTTATTTTTTTTGACACAAGACCATATATCATTGTGAAATCAAAACAGGTAGCAGTATGACCATTTTCTTAACGACATTCCACAATACAAAAGTAGTGATAATATTAATAAACAGAAATCAAATTTGAGTGGATTGTAAGAAAATCAACTATTGTGTAGAGGCAGTTTCTGAACCTTTTGAATTCTACTCTAAATACAAAGACCTCTTTCAGCAGAGAAATTGCAACCTGAAAAGTGTACAAGAAAGTGTATCGATATAATCCTCTGCTCTTTCTATTTAGGTTATCTGAAAACTTGAATCAATGGAACTCTGTTTCACATATTAGGTGACTCAATTACAATGAAAAATCTGCAAAATCAACAACATAAAAATGATATTTTCAATAACAGAAAGATATTTCAACATTCAATCCCAATAATGAGTTCAAAGTAGTCTAATTAGTTAATTGGGAGCAATTTCATTAATTATTCAATTAGGCTGATTTTCTAAATTGGATGAGATAAGTGACAGTACAGCACTATAATTCTCCCTCTTCATTTGTGCTGGGATAGGTTTTTAAGCCTCTGGTGCTGCGGTGGTGGTGTGGTGGTGCTGCGGTGGTGGTGTGGTGGTGGTGCTGCGGTGGTGGTGTGGTGAGTTAAAATGAGGCAAAAGAAGACAAGTTTCTCTCCTTGTCTCTTCTCCCGAGTACAGGTCAGATCCATGTGGAGAGAGAGGGCACAGCTTCCTACGGAGTGATGCATGCTGGGTAGTACAAACTGTGCAGGGGCGGCTACATCGAGACATTGTTCCCTGGTAGGAAGCCAAAGCAGACGTTGGCTGGCTATCACAAGAATCCCGTTTTCCCCTTTGAAATTTGGTAGGAGGTCAGGATAAAGGATGGAACATCCCTTCCAGGGCATGCATGTGATAAATGGATAAGCTGGAAAAGTTTCGCTAAAATGATCGCTTATGCATGGGTAAGACTGATGCTCCTCTGTACTTTTCCAAATCCTTTAAAAAAAAAACATTTGTGATCTCAATAGTGCATGATTTATCATAATTTATTACTTTCGGGCCAAATGGAAAAAAAACTGAGATCAAATCGGCAGGACAAAAACGTAAACGCTTATGCAAAAATGACTGTGTTCAGCACTGAAAAGAAAAGCCATACACAAACAAATATGAACATAACTCAAGGGAGCGACAGTTATCATCAACATCAACAAATATCCCACTCCCTTACAATTTTAATGAGTATTTTCTTCCCTCTCTAGCATCAATATGATTGAATCAGTCTCTTGAAAACAATTGCAAATTGAATATCTAGGAGTGAATTAGGGCAGATGCAGTAAAATTCTTTTTTTTTCTGACAGCAGCAGGCCATATTCATATAGTTACTGCTGCACAGTGGGGCATCAATATTGTTCAACGTCTCTGCTACACAGAGAGAGAGATGGAAAATAAGGAGACTGCCATCTTGTTTTTACACCACACAATGGTTCTTTCCCCCAGAGATCCTTCGGTTTCTCTAGGAGGTGATGATGTCTCTTGATGCTGTAGAGAAGATGGAGAGATGTCCGCTCCCTCGTCCTGAAGATATAAACAAATGACAATGACAAAAATGCAGATGAGAAAACAGGAAATAGCCGCAGGCTTTCCTTTGTATTAATGTGACTATTTATAATACTGCAAATCGGACGATTACACAGTGCTTAATGCTTGCACAGTTAGAATTTGTCTCTGAAATATTTGGGAAAGTTTGTTGATCCTTTTGGGAGTAGGGACTAGAACTTCCCTAATCCTTCCAGACATTCTATCTAGAGGTCTTCACTGTGATGCTCAATCCAATCCTTGCTACTAGGAAATAAAATAAAATGTATTTGTCACATGCGCCGAATACAACAGGTGTAGACTTTACAGTGATCTGCTTACTTACAAGCCTTTAACCAACAATGCAGAGTTAAAAAGTAAGAAAATAAGCAAATAAAAACACAGTAAAATAACAAAAACAAGGCTATATACAAGGCATACCGGTACCGAGTCAACGTGCAGGGGTACGAGGTAGTTGAGGTAATTGAGGTAATATGTACATAGGTAGGGGTAAAAGTGACTAGGCAATCAGGATAGATAATAAACAGAGTAGCAGCAGTGTATGTGAAGAGTGTGAAAGTGTGCCTATGTTTGTTTGGACCATGATAGGTCCTTAGTGATGTGGACACCGAGGAACTTGAAGCTCTCGACCCGCTCCAGTACAGCCCCCTCGATGTGAATGGGGGCGTGCTCGGCCCGCCGTTTCCTGTAATCCACGATCAGCTCCTTTGTCTTATTGATGTTGAGGGAGAGGTTGTTGTCCTGGCACCACACTGCCAGGTCGCTGACATCCTCCCTGTAGGCTGTCTCATCATTGTCGGTGATCAGGCCTACCACCGTCGTGTAGTCGGCAAACTTAATGATGGTGTTGGAGTCATGCGTGGCCACGCAGTCGTAGGAGTACAGGAGGGGACTAATCAAGCACCTCTGAGGGGCCCCTGTGTTTAGGGTCAGCGTTGTGGATGTCTTGTTGCATTCCATCACCACCTGGGGGTGGCCCGTCAGGAAGTCCAGGATCCAGTTGCAGAGGGAGGTGTTTAATCCCAGGTCTTTAGCTTAGTGATGAGCTTGTAGGGCACTATGGTGTTGAACGCTGAGCAGTAGTTAATGAACAGCATTCTCACGTAGGTGTTCATTTTGTCCAGGTGGGAAAGGGCAGTGTGGAGTCCAATAGAGATTGCGTCATCTGTGGATCTGTTGGGGCGGTATGCGAATTGTAGTGGGTCAAGGGTTTCTGGGATGATGGTGTTGATGTGAGCCATGACCATCCTTTCGAAGCATTTCATGGCTACAGATGTGAGTGCTATGGGTCAATAGTAATTTAGACAGGTTACCTTTGTGTTCTTGGAAACAGGGATTACGGTGGTCTGCTTGAAACATGTAGGTATTACAGACTGGGTCAGGGAGAGGTTGAAAATGTCAGTGAAGACACTTGCCAGCTGGTCAGCGCATGGTAATCATGGTAATCCGTCTGGCCCTGCGGCTTTGTGAATGTTAACCTGTTTAAAGGTCTTACTTACATCGGCTATGGAGAGCGTGTTCAAACAGTCATCCGCAACAGATGGTGCTCTCATGCGTGGTTCAGTGTTGCTTGCCTCGAGCATAGAAGGTATTTAGCTTATCTGGTAGGCTCCAGTCACTGGACAGCTTGTGGCTGGGTTTCCCTTTGTAATCTGTGATAGTTTGCAAGCCCTACCACATCCAACGAGCATCAGAGCCGGTGTATAGCACAATTGGTCAGGAACGGCTGCTATTCCCTCCATTGTAATTGGTTTTATGTGTTTTAGAGAACAGTCTTATGTCTTAGCAGTACAGTCATATGTGTTTTAGAGAACAGTCTGTCTTAGCAGAACAGTCTTATGTTTTTTAGAGAACAGTCTGTCTTAGCAGAACAGTCTTATGCGTTTTAGAGAACAGTATTATGTCTTAGCAGAACAGTCTTATGGGTTGTAGGTGTTTTAGGTCTTTTAAAGTATGCGGTCTGAGGTTGTGCTGCATATGGATGGGGCCACCGATTGAATTTGAAAGTGGCAAACATATCGCAAGGAAATGGGAAATGGCAGTGTGACATATGGCTGTTTTATATGTGGATGAGCAAGGGAATTGGCTCTCCAGATGAATGGATAGGTAGGGAGAGGGAGCGAGCGAGCGAGAGAGATAGATAGATAACTTGGCATTGTCCACTACAGCCATATGCTGTGACTTTTAACAACATGTGTAGCCAACATAATACTTTACGTATGATCTCCCATGTAACATTTCCTCCATCAACCTTAACCCAAATAAATTAAATTATACTAAAAAGTAATGAATACTGTAACAACCATGAATATAACATTTTCTCTAGTCTACATCAAAGCTAGTGGTCTCATCTATCAGGCAGTCTCTCAGAGAACCTTGGATTAATGTAGCATAATTTGGACAGAAGTCATAAATACTACTAAATAGCCCTGCTAGGATAACTCTGCATGCTAGGCCTAGTGATGATGTGGCTTCCTTGGTCATTACCCTGAGCCTGAGAGGACGACAGGCGAGAAGAAACAATTTTCCTCGGGCCCTGCCATTCAGTCTCCACTTCCACACTATTAAATGAGATGAATGTTGTTTGTGGCCAGTTCTGGCCCATTGCAACTCCATTACTACGCTCTCTGTCAACGTCTGCATTAGCTGCCCTTCACTGGAGCTAGCTGGCCCTACGTCTGTCACAGTGCTTTTACTTTAGGACATGATTGATGAGTGAATGCTTGGTGATGGTAAAGATTAAGGGCTAGATTCTATCAGATCCGCGCTAGCCGACTCCTGCATAGCGGTTGTTTTGGTGGTGTCGGAGGTGGAACTGCATTAGAGCTGTCAAATCCACAAACCGCTCCTGGCATTAAACCTAAAGTGGACATTGCCATTGGCTTCACGGAGTCGCATTTAGAGAAATCTCATGCAGCCTTGTTTACAAGTTGGAATACTAGAATGTGAGATTAAATCTACACCTCGATTAGACTGATAGAAATCCTCATTATTTAGTTTAATGATTTTAAAGTAGCCTACACTTTCTCATTCTGAACTTGTAATGCGAGTGGGACGGGTGTGGCTTCGTGACAATGACCACAAGCGCAGCCGCTCACCGATTGGACAGCTCTAACGCAGTTATATCTCCGACACCGCCAAAATACCAGCTATGTGGGTGTCCGCTACCGTGGCTTAAAGCTTGATCTGATTGAATCTAGGCTTAAAGAAAAACTCAAATAATTGTGTCATTTGTGATTTACTAAGGTTCATGAAACTAAAGGAAAATGTTAGAGAACCTAAATTGCTGACCAAACAATCTTAGATTATATGATTTTCAAAAGGTTATTGGTTCCAAATTCTTACCTGTTCTCAGTTGTCAATGTCAGAAACATGGTTCTCTATCTGAAAAGAAAAGAACACAAAATGCATCAGCATTTATTTGTATTTAAAAGCCAATTTGGGGTTCTAATGTAATCAGCTATAAAACAAATCCTGCTTAAATTAGAGCTTAATTCAGCGTTTTTCAAGTTGTTGGAGAGTTCTGTCAACTTGCAAAAATATCCTGGGTCATTGTACATTACCACTATATCTGATCAATATGACCTTGAATGAAGAAACAAATAAATCTCCCACACACTCGCTGGGAAAAATTCTCTCTTCTATTAGCGAGAAGACAAGGCTTAGCTCTTGGATGGCATGCACCCGCTCCATTTTATAATGGGTCATAAATATCGCATAATAGGGAAAGCATGGTGGCATTGAACCACAGATGAACCACACAGATAATTCCTTTGATCTTCCTGCTTGAACTTGAAATAATGTGTACTCTGTGAGGAGGCAGACTCTAGTGACACAACAGGGAAGATATGATTCTTCAGAAAAATGACATGTTCAAATAGCATACTATTTGTGATAATAACTGTGAGAAATATCAATAAGGTGAGTTGTTGACTGAAATGATCAATCATTGAAGGTGTCATATCAGCTGTTCCAGAAGTTGTCAAAAATACTTTCGCTTTTCCCTCAGTCTAGTTCTTTGTAGAGTATAAAATGGTGACTTTGAAGAACACTTTCGGTTCCCTCAGTAGCAACTCCATCTTCATTTTCATATTTGGACCGGTTAAGACAGGCCTCCAAGTCCCCCTGGTGTGTCTGCAGCGCCCTGTTTTAATTACAACCCATGGCAGAGTGTGTGTTGTGTCTGTGGTGTGTGTTTGTGTGTGTGTGTGTGCACGCACGCGCATTTGTGTGTGTGTGTGAACAGGGACCTGCCACCGCCTCCACTTGAGTTGGGCTGTCAGGGAGAAACTGTCAGTCGTGGCGCCCTCATCATTCACTCATGAGCAACCTCACACTGCTTTTCAGATCTTGAGCCATGAATAATTCGGCAGAATTAACTTTCTTAGGGCAAGACTGGTGTGCCCAATTGAAATCTCCCATCCCAAACCACTGTCTCCCCTGACCCCCTTCCAGGCCCCCCTTCATCACCCATTTCCCTTACCAGATGATGGCTGCCCTCTTCGTCGTAGTCATCCTCGCCCCCGTCGGTCATCTCTCCGGCCTCGACATCCAGTGCCCTGTCGCCAGCCTCCTCCCCGGAGTTCTCGGCTGTCTCCGACACAGACTCCTCGTGGAGAGAGTCACAGTGGTCCTCGTACTTTCTTTGAGCCTCTGGAGAAAACGTGAAAAGAGAGAGTGGGGAAAAAAGAGTGAGAGGAGGACAAAGAAATTAGATCAAAGTAACAACTGGTGACAAAAAGTAACAAGATGCTGACTAGCTACTCTGAGGGGATAAGGAGAGACTTGCAATTGAGATTCATACCATTACATTTACGTCATTTAGCAGACGCTCTTATCCAGAGCGACTTACAGTTAGTGAATGCATACATTTTTTATTTTATTTTCATACTGGCCCCCTGTGGTAAACAAACCCACATCCCTGCCGGCCAAACCCTCCCCTACCTTGGACGACGCTGGACCAATTGTGCGCCGCCCATGGGTCTCCCGGTCGCGGCCGGCTGCGACAGTGCCTGGACTCGAACCAGGATCTCTAGTGGCACAGCTAGCACTACCATGCAGTGCCTTAGACCACTGCGCCATACCATCATACATTTACATTTACATTTTAGTCATTTAGCAGACGCTCTCATAAACATCAGTCTTGGTGAAACCGTGTTTAACATCTGAACAAGCTTTAAATGTTCTTCTACTTCACCTCCCCTGCTGTGAGACTGTCCTCTAGTCTAGGACAAACTATAAAGGCCCCTCATATAAACTGAATTAGTCTAGTGTTGACACACGTCTACTGTTATGACAGAGAGCTCGGGCCTCTTATCTTCACATTTTGTCAGGAAGACTGATGGCTGGTGTGCGCTCTTAATTTTAACCCTGCGGTTGGTGTTTTTTGCTTGCAGGTTCCCATCTCATATTGTTTTTCTCTCTCTCTCCCTCTCTCTCTCTCTGACACCTTTTCCCTCTCTCTCCTTTTCTCTCTCTCCCCCTTTCCGTCTCGATCTCTCTCCCCCCGTCGCCCTCTCTTTCTCTCTGACACCCTTAGCCTCTCTCTTTCTCCCCCCCTCATTCTCTCTCACCGGACTCGGCTCTCTGCTGTTTCTCGATCTTCTCCAGGCGACCCAGCAGAGAGTCGATCTTTATCTTGATCTGTGTTAGCTCTCGTTTAATGGTCTGGAGCTGGTCCGTCTTCACTGCTGAGACATAATCAAAAACACAAACAGACAATAAATCGATTTATTATGCCATAGTCTGGGTTTATTTTACAATGTTATTTTTCTTTTAAACCCCACGATTCATTTTCAGCGTATCACAGAACTGATGTTATCATCTGGTCGTACCCCAGGACCCCCTATCATTCTATCCTTTCATCAAGCCAAATTACATTTTCTTCAGGGGTGAACATATCAATTTATCCGACCGTGTACAGTTCTTCTATTCCAAATATGAACCCGCTGCTTTCAATTTGGAGATTAGTTAATGGCTTACAGTACATCCACCATGATGTCTGATTCCTGCTCATTACCTGCGCTAACAGCTGTAGCCAACCTCTCTCCTTATTACATTTACATTTTAGTCATTTAGCAGAGGCTCTTATCCAGAGCGACTTACAGTTAGTGAGTGCATACATTTTCATACTTACAGTTGAAGTCGGAAGTTTACATACACCTTAGCCAAATACATTTAAACTCAGTTTTTCACAATTCCTGACATTTAATCCTAGTAAAAATTCCCTGTCTTAGGTCAGGTAGGATCACCACTTTATTTTAAGAATATGAAATGTCAGAATAATAGTAGAGAGAATGATTTATTTCAGCTTTTATTTCTTTCATCACATTCCCAGTGGGTCAGAAGTTTACATACACTCAATTAGTATTTGGTAGCATTGTCTTTAAATTGTTTAACTTGGGTCAAACGTTTCGGGTAGCCTTCCACAAGCTTTCCACAATAAGTTGGGTGAATTTTGGCCCATTCCTCCTGACAGAGCTGGTGTAACTGAGTCAGGTTTGTAGGCCTCCTTGCTCGCACACGCTTTTTAAGTTCTCCCCACAAATGTTCTATAGGATTGAGGTCAGGGCTTTGTGATGGCCACTCCAATACCTTGACTTTGTTGTCATTAAGCCATTTTGGCACAACTTTGGAAGTATGCTTGGGGTCATTGTCCATTTGGAAAACCCATTTGCGACCAAGCTTTAACTTCCTGAGTGATGTCTTGAGATGTTGCTTCAATATTTCCACAATTTTCCTTCCTCAAGATGCCATCTATTTTGTGAATTGCACCAGTCCCTCCTGCAGCAAAGCACCCCCACAGCATGACGCTGCGGTTGGGATGGTGTTCTTCGGCTTGCAAGCCTTCCCCTTTTTCCTCCAAACATAACGATGGTCATTATGGCCAAACAGTTCTATTTTTGTTTAATCAGACCAGAGGACATTTCTCCAAAAAATATGATCTTTGTCCCCATGTGCAGTTGCAAACCGTAGTCTGGCTTTTTTATGGCGGTTTTGGAGCAGTGGCTTCTTCCTTGCTGAGCGGCCTTTCAGATTATGTCGATATACAGTATCTCACAAAAGTGAGTACACCCCTCACATTTCTGTAAATATTTGAGTATATCTTTTCATGTGACAACACTGAAGAAATGACACTTTGCTACAATGTAAATTAGTGAGTGTACAGCTTGTATAACAGTGTACATTTGCTGTCCCCTCAAAATAACACAACACACAGACATTAATGTCTAAACCGCTGGCAACAAAAGTGAGTACACCCCTAAGTGAAAATGTCCAATGGCCACCATCATTTTCCAGCACTGCCTTAACCCTCTTGGGCATGGAGTTCACCAGAGCTTCACAGGTTGCCTCTGGAGTCCTCTTCCACTCCTCCATGACGACATCACAGAGCTGGTGGATGTTAGAGACCTTGCACTCCTCCACCTTCTGTTTGAGAATGCCCCACAGATGCTCAATAGGGTTTAGGTCTGGAGACATGCTTGGCCAGTCCATCACCTTTACCCTCAGCTTCTTTAGCAAGGCAGTGGTCATCTTGGAGGTGTGTTTGGGGTCGTTATCATGTTGGAATACTGCCCTGCGGCCCAGTCTCCGAAGGGAGGGGATCATGTTCTGCTTCAGTATGTCACAGTACATGTTGGCATTCATGGTTCCCTCAATGAACTGTAGCTCCCCAGTGCCGGCAGCACTCATGCAGCCCCAGACCATGACACTCCCACCACCATGCTTGACTGTCGGCAAGACACACTTGTCTTTGTACTCCTCACCTGGTTGCCGCCACACATGCTTGACACCATCTGAACCAAATAAGTTTATCTTGGTCTCATCAGACCACAGGACATGGTTCCAGTAATCCATGTCCTTAGTCTGCTTGTCTTCAGCAAACTGTTTGCGGGCTTTCTTGTGCATCATCTTTAGAAGAGGCTTCCTCCTGGGACGACAGCCATGCAGACCAATTTGATGCAGTGTGCGGCGTATGGTCTGAGCACTGACAGGCTGACCCCCCACCCCTTCAACCTCTGCAGCAATGCTGGCAGCACTCATACGTCTATTTCCCAAAGACAACCTCTGGATATGACGCTGAGCACGTGCACTCAACTTCTTCGGCCGACCATGGCGAGGCCTGTTCTGAGTGGAACCTGTCCTGTTAAACCACTGTATGGTCTTGGCCACCGTGCCGCAGCTCAGTTTCAGGGTCTTGGCAATCTTCTTATAGCCCAGGCCATCTTTATGTAGAGAAACAATTCCTTTTTATCAGATCCTCAGAGAGTTCTTTGCCATGAGGTGCCATGTTGAACTTCCAGTGACCAGTATGAGGGAGTGTGAGAGCGATGACACCAAATTTAACACACCTGCTCCCCATTCACACCTGAGACCTTGTAACACTAATGAGTCACATGACACCAGGGAGGGAAAATGGCTAATTGGGCCCAATTTGGACATTTTCACTTAGGGGTATACTCACTTTTGTTGCCAGCGGTTTAGACATGAATGGTTGTGTGTTGAGTTATTTTGAGGGGACAGCAAATGTACACTGTTATACAAGCTGTACACTCACTACTTTACATTGTAGCAAAGTGTCATTTCTTCAGTGTTGTCACATGAAAAGATATACTCAAATATTTACAAAAATGTGAGGGGTGTACTCACTTTTGAGAGATACTGTAGGACTCGTTTTACTGTGAATATACATACTGTTGTACCTGTTTCCTCCAGCATCTTCACAAGGTCCTTTGCTGTTGTTCTGGGTTTGATTTGCACTTTTCGCACCAAAGTACGTTCATCTCTAGGAGACAGAACATGTCTCCTTCCTGAGCGGTATGGCGCTGCGTGGTCCCATGGTGTTTATACTTGCGTACTATTGTTTGTACAGATGAACTTGGTGCCTTCAGGCATTTGGAAATTGCTCCCAAAGATGAACCAGACTTGTGGAGGTCTACAATTTTTTTCCTGAGGTCTTGGCTGATTTCTTTTGATTTTCCCATGATGTCAAGCAAAGAGGCACTGAGTTTGTATAAATAAATAAATCCACAGGTACACCTCCAATTGACTCAAATGATGTCAATTAGCCTATCAGAAGCTTCTAAAGCCATGACATCATTTTCTGGAATTTTCAAAGCTGTTTAAAGGCACAGTCAACTCAGTGTAGGTAAACTTCTGACCCTCTGGAATTGTGATACAGTGAATTATAAGTGAAATAATCTGTCTATAAACAATTGTTGGAAAAATTACTTGTGTCATGCACAATGTAGATGTCCTAACCGACTCCAACCTAAGTGTATGTAAACTTCCGACTTCAACTGTATAATTTCTGATTACTGTTTGGGGACATAATAAGACTACACAAACGGGATGATGCCATTTTTACATGATGTAACAACAGACCTGGGTTCAAATACATGTGTATTTGATTATTAGTTATTTAAATAATTAATTTTCAGTGTATTTGAGTATTTTCAAATAATGTGGCAGAATCAACTACTTCTATTGGAAGTATTTGAAAGTATTTTCTAATAATTTCATATAAATAGCCTAATATTTGAAAGTATTTTCAAATACTTATTTCAAATATTATTTTCAAATACCTGGGTTAAATGCATGGGAGTGTATCTGTGTCAGTGTATTTGAGTATTTTCAAATACATTCCAATATTCAACTACTTGTATTTTCAAAAAAAAATAATCTAAATACTTACTTCCAAATATCATTTTAAATAAATGAAATACCCTAAATAGTATTTTAACCCAAGGTCTGTGTAACAAACAATGAACAAAAAAATGTATAGCTGCTTTGTAAATCAAATATGATAAGCTAATAATAATAAGCTGATAATTTATTAAATATTTATGTCTCATGTGAATAAGTAATGTATTTCAAACAGATATCTAAATATAGAAATAAACTGATGTTTGTGAACTTGTGGAGGTGTGGTCAAATGTTATTTGGCTGCATTGTTACATTACACATGCCTGAAAAGCTACAGGCTGCATCCCAAATGGCACCCTATTTCGTATATATTTCATTTATTTTAACCACAGCTTCTAGTCAAAAGCAGTGCACCAGGTAGGGAATAGGGTGCCATTTGGGATTCAACCACAGTATGGGATTTGACTTTGAAATGTCAGTATGCAGATCACATCCACTTAAAAAATAGGCCTACCAAATACATAATATCTGATGTACATCAGATTAATTCTGCGCAGGCCCATATCTCTGATGTACAGTAGACATTAGGCTGTATACTTAAGTAGCTGGAACTACTAGGAATTCCGGGTTTAAAAAACGATATCCTGCTTCACTACCTTGGTGGTTGAAAAGTATTATTATTATTATATATATTTTTAAGGGGGTAAATCAGCTTTAATATTGCAGATAGATTGTGGCTTCCATCAATGTAATTTTCTGCATCATTTCCAATCCTCAATTTACAGTGGGGAGAACAAGTATTTGATACACTGCCGATTTTGCAGGTGTTCCTACTTACAAAGCATGTAGAGGTCTGTAATTTTTATCATAGGTACACTTCAACTGAAAAAAATCCAGAAAATCACATTGTATGATTTTTAAGTAATTAATTTGCATTTTATTGCATGACATAAGTATTTGATCACCTACCAACCAGTAAGAATTCCAGCTCTCACAGACCTGTTACTTTTTCTTTAAGAAGCCCTCCTGTTCTCCACTCATTACCTGTATTAACTGCACCTGTTTGAACTCGTTACCTGTATAAAAGACACCTGTCCACACTCAATCAAACAGACTCCAACCTCTCCACAATGGTCAAGACCAGAGAGCTGTGTAAGGACATCAGGGATAAAATTGTAGACCTGTACAAGGCTGGGATGGGCTACAGGACAATAGGCAAGCAGCTTGGTGAGAAGGCAACAACTGTTGGCGCAATTATTAGAAAATGGAAGAAGTTCAAGATGACGGTCAATCATCCTCGGTCTGGGGCTCCATGCAAGATCTCACCTCGTGGGGCATCAATGATCATGAGGAAGGTGAGGGATCAGCCCAGAACAACACAGCAGGACCTGGTCAATGACCTGAAGAGAGCTGGGACCACAGTCTCAAAGAAAAACATTAGTAACACACTACGCCGTCATGGATTAAAATCCTGCAGCGCACGCAAGGTCCCCCTGCTCAAGCCAGCGCATGTCCAGGCCCGTCTGAAGTTTGCCAATGACCATCTGGATGATCCAGAGGAGGAATGGGAGAAGGTCATGTGGTCTGATGAGACAAAAATATAGCTTTTTGGTCTAAACTCCACTCGCCGTGTTTGGAGGAAGAAGAAGAATGAGTACAACCCCAAGAACACCATCCCAACCGTGAAGCATGGAGGTGGAAACATCATTCTTTGGGGATGCTTTTCTGCAAAGGGGACAGGACGACTGCACCGTATTGAGGGGAGGATGGATGGGGCCATGTATCGCGAGATCTTGGCCAACAACCTCCTTCCCTCAGTAAGAGCATTGAAGATGGGTCGTGGCTGGGTCTTCCAGCATGACAACGACCCGAAACACACAGCCAGGGCAACTAAGGAGTGGCTCCGTAAGAAGCATCTCAAGGTCCTGGAGTGGCCTAGCCAGTCTCCAGACCTGAACCCAATAGAACATCTTTGGAGGGAGCTGAAAGTCTGTATTGCCCAGCGACAGCCCCGAAACCTGAAGGATCTGGAGAAGGTCTGTATGGAGGAGTGGGCCAAAATCCCTGCTGCAGTGTGTGCAAACCTGGTCAAGACCTACAGGAAACGTATGATCTCTGTAATTGCAAACAAAGGTTTCTGTACCAAATATTAAGTTCTGCTTTTCTGATGTATCAAATACTTATGTCATGCAATAAAATGCAAATTAATTACTTAAAAATCATACAATGTGATTTTCTGGATTACAGACCTCTACATGCTTTGGAAGTAGGAAAACCTGCAAAATCGGCAGTGTATCAAATACTTGTTCTCCCCACTGTATATATTTTTTTCCTTTATTATTTTCCGCTAACCCTACTACCCCTCCCCTAATTGCTGTAAACTAATGGACAACAACACTTAGGCTTCTACTTCCAGCTAATACATACTATATACATTTTACAGACACAGTATATTTTACAATAGTTATTATTTGTTTATTTTTAGTCCCATCCTTCAGCTACCCTCAACCCCTTCCATCTATCTCTGAAGACCATTCGGTTTTGATTTCTATTTGCCATATATTTTTCAACTGTGCTGTGAAGTTTCACAAAAGCTCTGAACCTTTCTATTCTCATAGTTTCTAAAGATTGTAAATTAAAGATAATGTTTTTGCTAAGAGTATTATTATATTATTGATCAATTGACTATGACTTTTCAAATCACCCTGCAGTGCTATTTGCAGAGTTAGCTCCAGGTAAATGTTGAAATTCTTCAGCCATTCCTGAACCTGCGACCAAAAACAAGCTATTGTACATATGGAAAGTACCAAAACAAATGATCTAATGATTCTGTCTCTTCGGGATGGTTGTATGCCCCATATATATAACATTCTATTGGTTGCAAGAATTTTGTATAATAATTTACATTGAGAAACTCAACGTTTTGAATCCGGCATCTTTTTGTGTATCAGTTCATAAACCATGTGCCATTGAATCGGTATATCGAAAATCTCTTCCCAACTATTTTGCAATCTATATGGCACAGCTGTCAATTTTTTGATGGTTGAAAATTAGTCAACCGTCAAAATAAGGGGAAAACAGACAGCATAAGTTTGAAACAAGAAAACTGACTTTGACACCTATCAAAGCTGGTCAGTGTCAGAACGAGGACGCATGAGTGGCTGTGTGAAGCCTTCCCATTACTTCATTCTGGGGCTTTAGCCGCCGAATCAGAAGCCTCTGAAAAGTGTTGTAGAATTGTTCATTATGTGCAATCTCATGGCTGCTTTGTAGCCACTATTTATAAACATTGATTTATTACACAAAAACACATCACTAAGCTCCCCGCTGTGGTTCTCTCCTCTACTTTCTCACCAAGGACATGTCCTACACTCTTCGAAAAAAAGGTGCTATCTAGAACCTAAAAGGGTTCTTCGGCTGTCCCCATAGGAGAACCCTTTAGAGTACCCTTTTTGGTTCCAGGTAGAACCCTTTTGGTTCCAGGTACAACCCTATTGGGTTCAATGTAGAACCCTTTCCTCAGAGGGGTGTACATGAAACCCAAAAGAGTTCTACCTGGAACCAAAAAGGCTTCTCCTACTGGGACAGTCGAAGAACCCTTTTGGAACCCTTTTTTCTAAGAGTATATAGTGTTGCTATGAGATCAGGAGAAATAGCTCTATCTCTAGGGAAATCAGATAGGCCTGGTGGAACTTCTTTCTACTGCCCCTTTCCTCTCTGATCAGTTGAACTTATTTATATAACTTGATTTACAATGAAGGCCTGGACACAGTTGAAGCCATATAGGTCTTTGTCTCTCTTGCCCAGCCCATAGTCAAACCACAAGCACCTGACCCTAGAGGTGACATGGCCCCTTGTTGATCTGAAAGTGGAAGGTACTTGAAAGTATCGGTAAGGACATATGTGTGGACAGAACGTGTGTGTGCATTCTGTGGTGGTGTTCGTAAATGCATTCGCTCCATTCAAAGCAGCATTGTGTGTGTTTGTGTGGTATGCAATCCTACTTCAGAGGCAATGCAGAGTCAATGTGTGTATTGGAATCACAAGCCAGCCACCTGTTGTTCTCTAAAGTGGCCATGGACTCTATTGTTTGAGCAGTGAGAGCTCTGGATCAACCATACCACAGACAGAGAAAATAGAAAGTATAGAGGATATAGAGGAGATGGAGAATGGTGCCAAGGAGGTGTGATATATGATACATTGAAGTCTCTCTCCTTCATTGCTGTCCCCTCAATGCATTTTGCACACGCACACACATGCACAGGCGCACACGTAAGCACGCACACACGTACACACGCACACAGCAATTTGTTATTTCAACATCTTCAACAACAACTGTGTATGCTTTGGGCAACCTACTATAGTTGTCCTTTGATGATAAGAAAGTGTGGAGCCATTTCCAATTTATCAGTGACTTCAGGCCCTGTTCCTTTGTGATATAAACCACACGAGCCACAGATAGAGAGAGACTCCAGACATAGCCGGCCTAATCCAACATAATTTCATCAACAGCATCCTTTGATAGCTCAGCATTACAGAGAAAAACAACATAGTCCCCTGATAGTCTCTTCTATTTCTATGGGGTGGATAGATGGATCTTATTTTGGGACTTAACGATGACCCATAAAGAAAAATGTGTTCTTGGAGATAGCAAGGGTCTCTTTGAATCACTGCAAGATGAAGATTGCAACAGACAATGAGAGTTCAGATTGTTCTTACTGAAGTCATTTCAGACCCTGGATAGCTTTAAGTCGATTCGAGTGCTAGGGAAATCTCCAGCAAGCTCTGAGCAATATGGTACGTTTTGCCACTGGCATTACTTTTGTTGTCATATGCAGAGCTTACAGTGGGGAAAAAAAGTATTTAGTCAGCCACCAATTGTGCAAGTTCTCCCAGGATGAGAGAGGCCTGTAATTTTCATCATAGGTACACGTCAACTATGACAGACAAAATGAGAAGAAAAAAAATCCAGAAAATCACATTGTAGGATTTTTTATGAATTTATTTGCAAATTATGGTGGAAAATAAGCATTTGGTCAATAACAAAAGTTTCTCAATACTTTGTTATATACCCTTTGTTGGCAATGACACAGGTCAAACGTTTTCTGTAAGTCTTCACAAGGTTTTCACACACTGTTGCTGGTATTTTGGCCCATTCCTCCATGCAGATCTCCTCTAGAGCAGTGATGTTTTGGGGCTGTTGCTGGGCAACACAGACTTTCAACTCCCTCCAAAGATTTTCTATGGGGTTGAGATCTGGAGACTGGCTAGGCCACTCCAGGACCTTGAAATGCTTCTTACGAAGCCACTCCTTCGTTGCCCGGGCGGTGTGTTTGGGATCATTGTCATGCTGAAAGACCCAGCCACGTTTCATCTTCAATGCCCTTGCTGATGGAAGGAGGTTTTCACTCAAAATCTCACGATACATGGCCCCATTCATTCTTTCCTTTACACGGATCAGTCGTCCTGGTCCCTTTGCAGAACAACAGCCCCAAAGCATGATGTTTCCACCCCCATGCTTCACAGTAGGTATGATGTTCTTTGGATGCAACTCAGCATTCTTTGTCCTCCAAACACGACGAGTTGAGTTTTGACCAAAAAGTTCTATTTTGGTTTCATCTGACCATATGACATTCTCCCAATCCTCTTCTGGATCATCCAAATGCACTCTAGCAAACTTCAGACGGGCCTGGACATGTACTGGCTTAAGCAGGGGGACACGTCTGGCACTGCAGGATTTGAGTCCCTGGCGGCGTAGTGTGTTACTGATGGTAGGCTTTGTTACTTTGGTCCCAGCTCTCTGCAGGTCATTCACTAGGTCCCCCCGTGTGGTTCTGGGATTTTTGCTCACCGTTCTTGTGATCATTTTGACCCCACGGGGTGAGATCTTGCGTGGAGCCCCAGATCGAGGGAGATTATCAGTGGTCTTGTATGTCTTCCATTTCCTAATAATTGCTCCCACAGTTGATTTCTTCAAACCAAGCTGCTTACCTATTGCAGATTCAGTCTTCCCAGCCTGGTGCAGGTCTACAATTTTGTTTCTGGTGTCCTTTGACAGCTCTTTGGTCTTGGCCATAGTGGAGTTTGGAGTGTGACTGTTTGAGGTTGTGGACAGGTGTCTTTTATACTGATAACAAGTTCAAACAGGTGCCATTAATACAGGTAACGAGTGGAGGACAGAGGAGCCTCTTAAAGAAGATGTTACAGGTCTGTGAGAGCCAGAAATCTTGCTTGTTTGTAGGTGACCAAATACTTATAAAAAATCCTACAATGTGATTTTCTGGAATTTATTTCCTCAATTTGTCTGTCATAGTTGACGTGTACCTATGATGAAAATTACAGCCCTCTCTCATCTTTTTAAGTGGGAGAACTTGCACAATTGGTGGCTGACTAAATACTTTTTTTCCCCCACTGTATCTCTATTGAATTGTAGAGGACGAAGAGATCAATACTGAGTATATTAGTCCATTTGTCTGCTAGCCCATGTCTTTGACAGCTATGGTTTACATATATTCTGAATGGCTGTTATGCATCACAGCCCCTACAAACTATATAGATCCACCCACCCAAATCTTTGGACTATCTAACCATAGCTTGCTCCCAATCCATCTACATCAATAGAAACAGCAATTTCTCACGGTTCCAACTTTAGCGACTGTGGCTACCAGATATAGAACTGTGATGCCCGGCTTGGAGAAAAATCAATAAAGTCTATCTAAAAAAGGAGGAAAACATGTTTTTCCCCTCCCTCCATACGTCCACTGCATCAGAGCCCCCTGACTGACGCTAGCAAGCTGTGGGTACTGATAACACTGCCCTGAATAAGGGAGAAGTAGAAACCGTACAGACTACACACTGAGTCCAATTATACAGCCCATGCCTTAAAGACTGCCGTTCAAGAACACAGAACTCTGATCAACATGTTAAATGTAAAACATGGTCTTATTATTCATTTGCTAATCAAATGATTAAATGTGGGGGAATGACAGATATGGATGAATCGTTTGTGACTGGAAGGATACAGCGTTCTTAGTCAGTGTATAGGGAGATGACTCAGTATGTTTGTGACTGGAAGGATACAGCGTTCTTAGTCAGTGTATAGGGAGATGACTCAGTATGTTTGTGACTGGAAGGATACAGCGTTCTTAGTCAGTGTATAGGGAGATGACTCAGTATGTTTGTGCTCTACATTGCTGTTGCTCGTTCCTGTTTTATAGTGGCACAGTAAGTGCAAGTTATGCTGAGGTATGTTGGGACATGACAGCTCCTTTTGTTAAGGGAGAGTAAAGTCACTTGGTAAGTCTTTTTTTATTATTCAGATGGTTTACCAACGTGAAATAGTTTATGTATATTAAGCAACTTAATCTGTCTGTACATATTTTCCTGCGTCATTGGATTATTTATCCCCCTCACATTCCACGACAATATCTATTATGTTTAGCTGAATGTTAGCCACATGTGTTCACCATTTTCCAATCCTAGAATTGCTACATTGGAATCAGCCACATATACAGTATAACAGTTGTGAACATACACTTGAGTCCGGAAGAGGTAGAGGAGGAGGAGGAGGTGGGTGGTCTGGAGGAAGAGGAGGAAGAGGAGGTAGTCTTGATGGGGAAGGAGGTCTTCCCACGTCGTGTGGATGGAGCCAGGACCCGGGAGCGCTTCAAGGGGATCACCGCCCTGGGGGGTGGGGCCACTCGGCCATGGTAGTCAAACAGCCTGAGGACAGGAGGGAATTACACCCGTAGAGAACAAACAGACTACTTAATACTATTAGAGGAGGTGCTCCCACATTCATGTGATTTCTATCGCATACATGTTAAAGTATTGGATTCCACTAATCCCATTCCACTACCTTTTCAAGCTTTTTTAAATTATATGAACGCAAGCTTTGCTTTTATACTTACAAGGCCATCATGCTTGATTGAGCAAGCTGTTTTGTATTGTAGTAATGTGGTGCCTGCCTGTATGTCATTAAACATTTATTTAGCAATAGAAAAATATATATTTCATAACATATTTTTTGGGTCAGTAGGTGCCCCACATAACAACAGGTGGTGGTGTGTTGGACAAGTCACTCATATATAGAGGTCTATAGAGCCTGTCTCCATTCCTGATTTCTGTAACCGTTAGCTTACCTCTGTAACATTGGACATACAGTGAGGGAAAAAAGTATTTGATCCCCTGCTGATTTTGTATGTTTGCCCACTGACAAAGAAATGATCAGTCTATAATTTTAATGGTAGGTTTATTTGAACAGTGAGATACAGAATAACAACAAAAAAATCCAGAAAAACGCATGTCAAAAATGTTATAAATTGATTTGCATTTTAATGAGGGAAATAAGTATTTGACCCCTCTGCAAAACATGACTTAGTACTTGGTGGCAAAACCCTTGTTGGCAATCACAGAGGTCAGATGTTTCTTGTAGTTGGCCACCAGGTTTGCACACATCTCAGGAGGGATTTTGTCCCACTCCTCTTTGCAGATCTTCTCCAAGTCAATAAGGTTTCGAGGTTGACGTTTGGCAACTCGAACCTTCAGCTCCCTCCACAGATTTTTTATAGGATTAAGGTCTGGAGACTGGCTAGGCCACTCCAGGACCTTAATGTGCTTCTTCTTGAGCCACTCCTTTGTTGCCTTGGCCGTGTGTTTTGGGTCATTGTCATGCTGGAATACCCATCCACAACCCATTTTCAATGCCCTGGCTGAGGGCTGAGGGAAGGAGGTTCTCACCCAAGATTTGACGGTACATGGCCCCATCCATCGTCCCTTTGATGCGGTGAAGTTGTCCTGTCCCCTTAGCTGAAAAACACCCCCAAAGCATAATGTTTCCACCTCCATGTTTGACGGTGGGGATGGTGTTCTTGGGGTCATAGGCAGCATTCCTCCTCCTCCAAACACGGCGAGTTGAGTTGATGCCAAATAGCTCCATTTTGGTCTCATCTGACCACAACACTTTCACCCAGTTCTCCTCTGAATCATTCAGATGTTCATTGGCAAACTTCAGACGGCCCTGTATATGTGCTTTCTTGAGCAGGGGGACCTTGCGGGCACTGCAGAATTTCAGTCTTTTACGGCGTAGTGTGTTACCAATTGTTTTCTTGGTGACTATGGTCCCAGCTGCCTTGAGATCATTGACAATATCCTCCTGTGTAGTTCTGGGCTGATTCCTCACCGTTCTCATGATCATTGCAACTCCACGAGGTGAGATCTTGCATGGAGCCCCAGGCCGAGGGAGATTGACAGTTATTTTGTGTTTCTTCCATTTGTGAATAATCGCACCAACTGTTGTCACCTTCTCACCAAGCTGCTTGGCGATGGTCTTGTAGCCCATTCCAGCCTTGTGTAGGTTTACAATATTGTCCCTGACATCCTTGGAGAGTTCTTTGGTCTTGGCCATGGTGGAGAGTTTGGAATCTGATTGATTGATTGCTTCTGTGGACAGGTGTCTTTTATACAGGTAACAAGCTGAGATTAGGAGCACTCCCTTTAAGAGTGTGCTCCTAAACTCAGCTCGTTACCTGTATAAAAGACACCTGGGAGCCAGAAATCTTTCTGATTGAGAGGGGGTCAAATACTTATTTCCCTCATTAAAATGCAAATCAATTTATAACATTTTTGACATGCATTTTTCTGGATTTTGTTGTTGTTTTCTGTCTCTCACTTTTCAAATAAACCTACCATTAAAATTATAGACTGATCATTTCTTTGTCAGTGGGCAAACATACAAAATCAGCAGGGGATCAAATACTTTTTTCCCTCACTGTAAGCTCAGAAACACTTGTTTGGTAGAGCATGGGTGGAGTAGGCACTGTGGGGCTCGTGAATTTCCTTGCTTTTTCGGCTTCAGACCAATGCCTACTTCTCACTTAAAACATTGTTTTTAATTTCCACTGGAAGGTGATTATACAAAAATATAAAACATTTCCACATGCAAAAAGTGACTTTCGAAAATGTAATTTTAAAGTTATGTTACAAATATATATGTGTTTTGTCTCACATAATTTATTGTCCAGGGCCCGGTTTGCCAAAAGTCGTTAGACCCTTCGGAGGCACATGGTTACATCTCAGAGCTGTTTCCCAAAACCATCGTTACTAAAGTTGAAAACAATCGTTATTTATCGACTGCCTCAGACCACCCGTAGAACAGACAACTGGGTCATTAGATGCTTTTTTACCCACTTTATACACAGAAGATCTCTGCTAAACCTAGAATAAAGATGTTTATCTGTCCCTCTGTGACCGTCGATAGCTTCACAACGAAGTTGACTACAATACAAAGTGGCCAATGTCTTTGCAATTGTTATAAACAAGCAAAGGGTAAAAATATGCTTCAAATGAAAATATAAATACAGTAAGCTACATAGGCCTATGCCATCAGAAAGTATTCACACCCCTTGACTTTTTCCAAATTTTGTTGTGTTACAAAGTGGGATAAAATTGGATTTACAGTTCCTTCAGAATGTATTCATACCCTTTGACTTATTCCACATTTTGTTGTGTTACATTTTGTTGTGTCAATACGTTAGAATCCCCTTTGGCAGCAATTACAGCTGTGAGTCTTTCTGGGTAAGTCTCTAAGATGTTTGCACATCTTGATTGTACAATATTTTCACATTATTATTTTGGAAATTCTTCAAGCTCTGTCAAGTTGGTTGTTGATCATTGCTAGACAACAATTTTCAGGTCTTGCCATAATTTCTAAGGAGATTTAAGTCAAAATTGTAACTCGGCCACTCAGGAACATTCACTGTCTTCTTGGAAAGCAACTCCAGTGTAGATTTGGCTTTGTGTTTTAGGTTATTGTCCAGCTAAAAGGTGAATTAATCTCCCAGTGTCTAGTGGAACGCAGACTGAACCAGGTTTTTCTCTGCCTGTGCTTAGCTCCATTCAGTTTCGTTCCCCCCCTGAAAATATGGAGAGTGGTACTCAATAATGTGTTGTATTGGATTTGCCCCAAACATAACACTTTGTATTTGGGACAAAAAGTTAATTGCTTTGCCAAATTTTTTGAAGTATTACTTTAGTGCCTTGTTGCAAACAGGATGCATTTTGGAATATTTGTATTCTGTACAGGCGTCCTTTTCATTCTGTCATTTAGGTTAGTATTGGGGAGTAACTACAACGTTGTTGATCAGTCCTCATTTTTCTCCTATCATAGCCATTAAACTGTGTAACTGTTTTAAAGTCACCATTGGCCTCATGGTGAAATCCATGAGCGGTTTCCTTCCTCTCCGGCAACTGAGTAAGGAAGGACACCTGTATCCTTGTAGTGACTGGGTGTATTGATACACCATCTAAAGTGTAATTAATAATTTCACTATGCTGAAAGGTATATTCAATGTCTGCTTTTTTATTTTTTACCCATCTACCAATAGGTGCCCTTCTTTGCGAGGCATTTGTGGTTGAATCTGTGGTTCAACCACAAATTCACTGATCGACTGAGGGACCTTACAGATAATTGTATGTGTGGGGTACAGAGATGAGGTAGTCATTAAAAAATTATGTTAAACACTATTATTGTAACCTACTATGTGACTTGTTAAGCACATTTTTACTACTAAACTTATTTTGGTTTGCTATAACAAAATGGTTGAATACTTATTGACTCAAGACATTTTAGCTTTTCATTTTTAATTAATTTGTAAACATTTGAAAAAACATAATTCCACTTTGACATTATGGGGTATTGTGTGTAGGCCAGTGACCAAAACATCTCAATGTAATCATTTTTAAATTCAGGCTGTAACACAACAAAATGTGGAAAAAGTCAAGGAGTTTGAATACTTTTTGAAGGCACTGTATTTCAATAATATTGAATCAATTTCATGTTCAATCAATTGAGTTCTATTTTTCTAATTGTAGGCTACTATCTGTAATTCTTGCCTCCCTAAAAACACGCCACTTCGATTCAAGTGACTTTTCGTAGCAAATTAGGAGAGCATTTTTGCTGACCCTAACCCTTTTCCTAACCTTAACCTAATTCTCCTAACCTGCTACGTTAATTAGGAGAGCATTACGAAAAAGTTGTAGCTGTATCGAAGTGGCGTGTTTTTAGGGAATCTCGTCCATGGACGTAGATTTTCGTTCTGGTCTGGACCAAATCTGAACCAATCATAGACGTCTATGTTTGGTTGAGATTTGGTCCGATCCGGACTGGCCTTGATTTGGCCCATACATAGACGGGAAAACAGACCAAATCTGAACCAATCATAGACATCTATTAATCACAAGTTTGGACAGCACAGTACAGTACAGTAGAGTAGTGGCTTTTAAACATTTCCATGGGGATCCCAGGCTGTTCCATGTAATTGATATATTCCAGAGCTAGCACACCTGATTCAACTTGTCAACTAATCCTCAAGCTTTTGAATAGCGAGTTCAGAGCTACAGCAAAATTGTGAAACATCTTGGGGTCCCCGAGGAGAGGTTTGAGAACCACTGCAGTAGAGCACAGCAGAGTGCAGTACATTACAGTACAGTTAAAAAAGTAAAGAAAGTATTTTCAACATTCATTCAGAACCGAAAACAAACCTGATTTCAACGTCCGGAAAATAGGTATTTTTAATGTCTGGAAAATACATATTTGCAACGTCCGAAAAAACAAACATATTTTCAACATCTGGGAAAACATTTTAAATTTCCTGAAAATACTTATTTTCACCTTTCATTCAAAACCTAAAATGAACCTATCTTCAATGT